AAGTAGACCAGGGACCACGATGGCCCGGGACGACGGAACTATGGGATCTTGATTGGGTCTATCATCCATTCCCCCACCATCCGCTTTAAGTGCAAGATGGTGAATTTTTTATTTTAAATATCAAATTTTTTAATTTCCAAAATTTCCAAACTTTTCAAATACCCAAATTCAGACACAATTTCCAAATCCAAATCCATGCTGCTACTATATGACAGATACCACGTATTTCTACATATCTGATTGACGACTAGCCTTAATCGAAAGTTCTCTCTCATGATCGAGAGGGGTAATTAACTATAGGGGCTTGCGCCTATAGGAAACCAGAACTCAGATCATAAAGTCCTCGCAAAATGAGGGCGAAATCTCTAGGTAGTGTCTTATCTACAAATCCATCTGCCTTCCAAAATTTACCCCGGATTTTAATTCAGTTAAAACTCCCTCGCTGAATAAAAAAGAAAAGCGGACGGAGGCCAGGGCTGAATTTTTGGAGCCCACAAGTACATCCGCCATTGCTACAAGTAGGCAGGTAGATGTATTCCTTCACAGACTAGAATTGACTTCAGGATACTGCATTTACTGAAGTCTTTTTTCATCTACCCATTAGTGGAATGTGGTGCATACATTTGTATTTGTAGAGAAATCATATGTATTGCAGATCTTTTAATACTACTCACTAGCATTTGTATTTACATTTGATGTGATTTCTTGCCATCCATTTCTTCGTATGTGCTAGTTGTTGCATTTGAGGGAGTCTAGTGTATTTGTTTACACTTGAATGACATCAGTTGTGTATGAGTCATGGTGTTCTATCCATGAACACACTAATACACTATTATAATCAAGTTGTTTCCCCTCGATGTTTGCATGCTTGTTGCATTTATTATGTATAACAAATAACAAATCACTATGCTCACTATATTTCTTGTAGGCTCATGACATGAATAACAACATTATCATTATTTCCACTGAACATTAGCATCTGTATTGGCATAATCATTGTGGACGAATTGTATCATTCATTGGGGGATTCTTTCGTTAAATGCTATCCAACTACTTTGAATGAACTTGTTGATCCACTGACAAGGACATTGAACAACACATTGAAGATCTTTTATAACAACATCCCTTTAAAAATAGTTCATGATCTACATGATAATTTGTTCAATGATAATTGCTTGCAATCGTTCGAATGCTTCAATTTGATTGAATTCCATTCATATACACTGAATATTTATCATCCCTGAGTTTCATGTGGTCTTTGTATTTAAGTCAAGTTCAAATCTACTTCTTTGTGGTTCAAATGTCCACAAATTTGGTTGCAAATTCAAGTCTAAGGCCCATGTTGTCCATATGTGTTCAATTTTAGTTAAATTCAAGTTCACTTGTTGTCCAAATTGTAAGTTCACTTGAGTTCAAATCAAATCCTTTGCATGAGTTCAAGTTCCACTGTCATTTCTTTGATGTTCATTTGATTAAGTTTGCTTGTAAGCTTGATTTTGTCTCAAAATGTTCCCAAGTTAAGTTCATTTGATGTCCAAATAAAATCCACTGTTCGTTCTAAGTCCTTATCCTTTTTGGACAAAATTTCGACAGCCTCTCAGCGTCTCCCCTATTTAGGGGAAAAACCAAAAGACCGCCTACCCGCCACGTCAATAAAAACGAGTACGGTTGGTGTTTGTGAGACACCGCGGTGATGATTTTTTTTGTTTGTTATTCACCACGCCAATAAATGCGTGCATGGGTTATTAAAATCATTTATTTTTGAAAAGCAATTTTTTTATTTCCCTATCGTGCTAAGAAAAGCTCGCACAGGAATCGCCCGCCTTCAATTCGTCATAAGCGTCGTATCAAGTTCCCTCCCACCACACTAATAAAAGCGTGCATAGGGGGTCCCTCGGCGTGCCACAAACAATGAAAAAGGACATAAGGGGGATTACCTGCCTCGCCACAAGTACCGCAACGTGCTCCCAACGCGCATGGGTGGTTACTTGCCGCACCACAAGTGCTGAGGACGGGCTCTCGAAGTTTAAGAGGATATACCTTGGCGACGCCAGCGGGGTAGTGGCACAAAAATACAAAACCTCCTTTTTTATCTTTCATTTCTTTTTTTTTTTCTTTTGCTCTCTTTTTTTGTTTTATTTTCTCTTTTTTTTTTTTGCAACTCTTTTCTCTCTCTCTCTTTTTTTTTTTTTTTGACATTTCTTTCCTCTTTTTTTTTTTACACAAATAATACACAAATCTCAAGGATGCATGAATGGCAAGAAATCCCTTTTTACTTTTTTTTTTTTTGCACACATTTTTTACAGACATACATATCCATACTTGCAACTTGAAATGAAATGTTATTGGAAGCTTTCCTGTATGTGAAAACAAAAATTTTGTTTCATGTGAGCTAATAATACAAACTGTTATAAATGCCTAATAACCTCAACTAATAATGATAAAATGGAACTTAGTAAAGAAAGATAATTAAGCCTCTATACTGGTGGACAAGAGAAGGGGGCAGAAGGAATTGAATGGAATTTCAATTGGCCTTAAAGATTCTCTATGAGCTGCAGCTTTGTAAGGAAAGCACATGGGTGAAAGCTGTTGTGGCCATAGAATGATCTTTAATGTATTGTCAAAATAATGCAGTAAAAAAAAGGCTTGGCATGATGGAGTTCCCGTGAAACTGTAAGAACAGTAATAAATAAAAAAAAATTATCATTGCTAAGAGAGCTTTGAAAAGGAGACGCCTGGTTCGGAGTTTATAGCTTGCGGCTTGTGCAAGAATTACCAGGAGTTCAAACAGACGTTGGCTTTCTTCCAAATAGGGATCTCTGTTTGGCTCTAAGAAGTATATATCTTTCACTTCTGAAAGTTGCTGCTGTTTGGAACCGTAGGGTATGGACGGATCTGAAGACAAGATCGTAAGGCTACAGGTGTGGTGAAGTTCGCAAATAACAGGGAATCCGAAGGTGAGATCGTAAGGCACTAAGGCTACAGGTGTGGTGAAGTTGACTTCAAGTTGGGATGACGGTGAAGGGGAAGGTCGGGCACAGTGAAGAGCTACAGAGGAATTGATATTTTCTTTCTGCTGTTTAGCGTGTGTAACCCAGAGAAGTAACGGGGCTTTTCATTTTAATGCAAGACGGAAGTAGTGATCGAGGAAAACTGAGCAGCCGTCTTCTCTATCAAATATCTCAGCTGGATATCCAGGATTAATCAGAGATCTTCGATTTAAACGAGGTAGCTCGTATTAATTTGATTTGTGAAATTCCTTGTTTGACTTCTGGCCTGACTTCTCCTTAGTTTGATTAATTTAATAATAATATAATATTAAAGATATGTCTTTATTATCAATTGTTCCAAAGTAATAGCCCACAAACAGGTTAAAACTGCTCCGAACTGCGTGCATTTCCTCAATATATGTGCATTTTATCTTGTTTTATGTGTCAATTTTGCGGATATCAAAATTGGACAAATTGATAGTGCATTTAGTATATTGCCGACGTTCCGGTCGCAACAGTAAAAACATAAGAGTCACATAATTGGACTTTTGTAGCTGTATAGCTAATGACGGTAAAACTGTGAAACTTCATGTGGAGAAAGCTGCTGAGAATTCCAAAAAACCGAACAAATCCCTAGTAATAAAAATTTTTGGAGGAGATGCCCCTCTCTCTTCAATTAGCTATGAATTGAAGAGACAGTGGGAACAATATTGCAAATTTCATCTTACTGTTTTGGGAAAAGGATGGATCTTATGCTCTTTTTTTGAAGAAGAGCACATGGAAGCAGTACTTACCAATGGGCCTTGGTTCGTGAATGGCAACATAGTTGGGATGGATAGATGGTCTCAAAGGTTTGATCCTAATTCTCTAAAAGGATTCTCAGCTCCTATATGGATTATATTACCGAAATTACCACTATTTTGTTGGGATGAAGTAAATATATGTCGTATAGCTTCCATGGTGGGGAAGCCTTACCTTATTGATGGTAATTTGTTCTAATGGTCAAGAAGGGAATTTGGACGTGTGTGTGTCTGTATTGATCTAGATGCTAAACTTCCTACTGGAGTTTGGGTAGAGGGAGAAGAAAACAGATTTTTCCACAAAATTGAGTATTAAAGGCTTCCCAATCTTTGCTTTGATTGTGGGAAGATTGGCCATATCAAAGATATCTGTCTAAACAGTATCTTGATGAATAAAGAGATAGCAAATCAACCTGGCAAATATTTTCCTAAAAGCAATGTGGAGAAGAATGCGGAGGCTGGAGAAACATCTGTTGAGAATGAAGAATATGGTCCTTGGACGTTAGTGAACTATGGGAGGAAATTTTGTTAAGAAAAACTGTAATAATAAATATGCAACTACTATTGATAAGAGGAGTAAAGTAGTTCTATCAAAGCAATATGTTGCCATTGGGAATAAAGCACCTGAAGAAAAAACTGGAGATAAGCAGAGAATGGAGGATCAAGATGGTTCTGAAACAATTGCTAAAGGAGGAGTTTCTAAAGAAACATCTGGAACTTTGGTTGAACAAAACAAGTTTCAAGCACTAGCAGACTTGGAAGAAGGAGAAATACATCAAACTATTTTAGATATTGACCTGAATGGAGGTAAAACTACAACATAAGTTATCAAAGAATTAGAGAAGGATGCCATCAATATTGAAACGGAAGGAATTTCTTCTGAGTCAACAGAAAAATATGTTGCTGAAAACAATGTGAATGTGGAATCTGCTGTCCACAGCAAGAAGAAAAGATCCAAGCAGCTAAAGGAATTGGGACCAGTCAACTCTTCTACTAGAAGCCGGAGATTGGAGCAGGAAGGGAAAGGTACAATGGGGAGTAATCCTCACAATCTTTTTTAATGTATTCAATTGCATTTTGGAATTGTAGGGGAACAAGGAAGAGGAATGCTTCCTTATATTTGAAAGAGTTTGTAAAGAACAATGGAGTTTGTTTTATTGGTTTAGTTGAAACTAAACTAACTTAAATTAATAGAAGTATAGTTGATGGAATGATTGGGAGCAATTGGGACTATTTTTATGTCCCGTCCACTGGGCTTTCTGGTGGAATTATACTACTATGGAATTCTGATACAACTTTGTTCAAGGTGGAAGATTCATCTTCTCAGATGGTGATCAGAGATTTGAAAGTTATTAATAATGAGAAGTGGAAGGTAGCTACAATCTACGGGAGTATGGAAGTGCAAAAGAGAATGGAATTGTGGAATATGCTAGGTAAGTATTCCAATAGTGATCTTCCAATGGCCATTGGTGGATATTTCAATTTCTTATTGAGAAAGGAAGACAAATTGGGAGGAAGAAGATTCATCTATTCTCAAGGATCAAGGGAAATGGAGGAATGCTTGCTCAATAATGATTTACATGAAATTGGGTACATTGGTCCTAAATTCACTTGGTGCAATAATAAAGTTGGAAGTGCTAGGATCCTTGAAAGATTGGATAGGTGTTTTGTTAACACTATTGCATTGAGTTCTCCAATTCAATTGATAGAAAGGCACTTGGCTAGAATAGCCTCGGACCATTGTCCAGTCCTGTTACAATTCAAAAACTTCAATACTAATCCTAGAAAGTTGATCAAATATGAAAATTATTGGGTTTTTTATCAAGCTTCATATGGGATAGTAAGGAAGGAATGGGACAAGAATTATCAAGGTAGCTTCTCTCAAGTTCTCAACAAAAAATTTAAAAGGTCTCTAAAATCACTCTTCTTTTGGAGCAAGGCAAAACACAAAGAGTTGAATAGTTTGAAAGATGTCCTCATCCAGGAAATCACGGATATGCAAGGAAAAGAGACTTCTTTAGGGAGTCTATCGGAGCAAGAACAATGGAACCTCAAAGCTAAAGTAATGGAACTTAATGCTACTATGACAAGGCTTAATATGTGGTTGAAGCAAAGGGCCAAAGTCAAATGGTTAAGTGAAGGGGATGGAAATTCTAAGTTCTTCTATTCTTATGCAAGTGCAAGAAGGAATGCTAACAAAATTATCAAGGTCAAAGCTGAAGATGGAATGATAGTAGAAGATCAAAGCCAAATGGAGGATGCCTTTATACGGTTCTTTCAAAAGAAGTGGGAAGCTAGAAGAAGCAACTTGGAAGGTTGGCCAACAAACTATAACTCTTTGAATTCTTGTGAAAGAAACTTTTTGGAAGTTGATTTATACATGAATGAAGTAGAAAAAGTTGTACATCATCTAGAAGGAAATACTTCACCGGGCAATGATGGAATCTCTCATTCTTTCATAAAAATTTATTGGGAAATAATTAAAGATGATTTTTGGAAAGCTATTAACTTCTTTTTTAGCTATGGAGAGCTTGATAAGGATTGGAAAGAAACATTTATTGTTTTAATTCCAAAGGTTGCTAATCCCATCCTTCCTTCTAACTATAGACCTATAAGTCTATGCAACACGGTTTACAAAGTGGTGGCAAGGTTAATTTTTATTAGAGTAAACTTGGTCATTCCAAAACTCATTACTATGGAGCAAGTAGCATTCATCAAGGGGAGATCTCTATCCGATCATATCTTAGTGGCACAAGAAGCTTTTCATAAGATTCGGGTTTCTAAAGCATCCAAAGGCCTTGTCTCATTCAAAGTTAATATGGAGCAAGCTTATGATTCCATGGCTTGGTCTTCTCTAAAGAAGGCATTGGAGTACTTCAACTTTCCTCTCATAAATTCTAAATTAATCTTGGAGTGTGTAGAAGATCCCAAATTCTCTATCATCATTAATGGCAATTACACAAATTGGATTTTTGCTAGAAGCAGTTTTCGGCAAGGATGTCCATTATCCCCCATCCTTTTTATTCTATGCTCACAACGTCTATCCAATGCTTTTCATCAAAGCTCATGTGGTATCAAGGTAAATTCAGAAGGTCCTAGAATTTCTCATTTGTTATATGCTGATGATGTGGTCATGTTTTCTAAAGCTAATAGGAAAGAAGTGTTGGAAGTGAAGCAAATCCTTCACAATTTTTGTGAATGGACAGGACAAAAAATTAATTACAAAAAACTCATGTGTTTATTTGGGAAACATGTGAAGAGAAGATATAGAAGAAGGATCTCTACTATCATGGGATTTAAACAAGTGAAGGAGTTCAATTATCTCAGGTTGAAGATGGCTTTAAGAAGAATTAGAAGGGATGATTTCCAATTTATCATTGACAATGCCATCAGTAAACTTAATCAATGGGGGAGCAAAAGCTTATCTCTTCCTGGGAAGATTATTTTGGTAATTTTATTTGCTCTTCCTTCTTATCATGCTACTCATTCTTTAATGCCCAAAATGCTGTTGGAAGAACTTGATAGAATCTGTAAAAATTTTATCTAGAATAAAAATAACGGTAAAATGGGATTGAATTATGTAAGCTGGCCGGATTTGTGCAAACCATTAGAAATTGGGGGACGTGGTTTACATTCTAACACATCCAAAACTCCTGCTTTGAGAGCTAGATTAGCTTGGAGATTTATAAATAATAAGCAATCCTTGTTACACATGGTCATGGCTTCAAAATATGGTGAAAGATTGGATAGAGGAAATTCCAACGGCTATTTGTCTACAACATTTAAATTGTTGAAAGAAAGATTAAAAAATGCTCAAGCTAATATTAAGATGGAGGATAGCTAATGGAGATTCAGTTGATGCTTTTGAAGATACATGGATAATGGACAAATGTATAAACAAATGGCCTACATTTGTTGTACCTTATGAAGGAAACTCTGTTCGGGTAAAAGACTTCATACAGAATGCTCAGAGGAATGATCAAGAATTAAGTAAACACTTTGGCAAAGAGCTTATCAATTTGATCAAACAAATTGAAATAAATCAGGGAAGCATTAAAGACTATATGGAATTGACAAAACAAAGTTCTGGTATGACAATACCAGGATTAATCAGTAAAGCTGCAGATTTACAGTTGGAGGATGACTTAAAATGGAAATGGATAAAAAATGCAAAGCTGAATGCTCGGGTGGAGTTTTTCCAGTGGAAATTGAAAAAAAATGCCATTCCATCTCTCCAATTTGTTTGCTACAGAAGATTAATCAAGAATTCAAATTGTCCAAGAGGTTGTGATGCAAGAGAAGATGTAGAACACAAAATTTGTAGCTGCAGTAAATTGAGGTAGATAATCCAGATTTTAAACAATTGGGGATTCTATATTCCAACGTTTGAGATAAAGGAGCATTGTATTAATTGGATTGAATCCAATATTATGAAGAAAGGGATGATGATAAGATTATATTGCAACACAGTGTTTCTACCTTGGAAAAGCATAAATAGGTTGATTCATTATGGTGTTGAAGACAATTCAAGTTACTTAGCATCTAATGTTATTTGCCAAACTAAGGTTTCTCTTAACTTTAGTCAAATCAATTTGGGCTTTTGGGATGTTAATCAGTCGTTAAGACTGTCTAAAGCTTGGCATCCTCCTCCACCCAATTGGCGAAAGGTTAATGTTGATGCTTCACTTCTCTCTTCCTACAAAGCTGGAGTTACTAGGGTCTTCCGAGATAGCTATGGAAGATTCTTGTTCGCTTATGGAAAATTTCTTCGACATTGGGATATAGCTCAATTGGAGATGCTTGCCATTCATTCTCTAAAAGAGGAAATAAATGATTGGATGTTCAAATACAAGGGAATAATCATAGAGGGTGACAATTCAAATATCATTTCCTATTTCAAAAATGCTTGGAAAACAGGGAGGTTTAAGGATGATGGTATGGAATTTCTTTCAAGATTCAACTTTGTCTTTTTTAATTGTATTAGTAGAGATTGCAATAAGTTAGCTAATCTTTGTGCTAACTATGCTCTTTTTAGTAGCTTTGAGTGGGTGGACGTGGATCTATAGATATGAAATTTGTTAGGAATTTGTTATAGAGTGAGAAAATAGTTATGGTGAGAAAATATTTTCTTGATTTTAAATTTAAAATTAGAAAATTTATTTATTTATTTTTGATTTATTATTATTTAATATTCCTTATATTTTCATTCCTTTTATTTAAATTCTTTTTTTTTATTATGTTCCCTTTTTAACTAATTTTTTACATTATTCTTTTAATCTAAAATTTGTATTGTTATTTAATGTTCTTATTTCATATATTTTTATTTTTATTTTCCTTTTATTATTTTGTAGTTTATTCTTACAAAAATTCTTATATTTAATATTTTGATATTATGGATTTTTAATTATGCTTATATTTTAAATATTTTAAATGGAGATTTCCTTATATGTTTTGTGATTTTAATATTTTTATTATTAAGTTTGTTAAACTCTTTAAAGTGTTATATTCTTGAAGAACGTCAAACAATATCTTCTTCGAGCATAAACATGCTCAAACGAATAGTTTAGACCATTCAAACACAATGGTTTAATTTGTTACGAAATACAAGGCATGCACCCACAAAAAAATTCTGTGTGAAATGATCGTACGCATGAAGGCTTCAGATGTAAAAAATCATGTAATTTTTTTTTTATATAAAATATCATTGATCTCACAACATATATCTCCAAACATAGTAATGAACAACATCTAACCAAAAGAATCAAATTATGTGACCAACGGTGAATTGGGGAGATAGTGACTCGACCTATCGTCGCACACTATAACGCTAAAAATGCAAGATATGGACTTGATTAGATACTATCCAAGTTAATAACTAAAAAGCCCGAGGAATGAACGAACCTACAAAACATGCAAGAAGATTAAGAAAATGATCGACACCAAAAAAAGTGGTCTGGATTGAATGTCTAAGTTCCATCGGGTATTTGATGAGATCATTAAGAAATCCTATATTTTCCAAACTCAAATGATAAAGCCAAAGTAACAATAATCTTGTTCCTCATTGTCATTCCCAGCTGGAACCAACAAAAAATCTATGTTAGCAACATTAATAAATTAAATATGTAACCCCATGAATATAAGTTATGGATTTAGGCTTCGTTTGGAACAATTTTTTTAGTGCTTTTTTATAAAAACATCTTTCTAGTACAAAAATTACTTAAAATAAAAAATTTTGTACAAAAAAGCTATATATTTCAGAAAGCAGTAAGAAAGTCATCCCAAATGAAATCTTAATAAGCTTATATCAGGTATCAATATGGCATTCACCCTTTGATAACTTGGACTTTTTCACAAAGAGAAGAGCAAGGACGCCGACATGAGACTCCAAACTTACTGTTTAGGATGTGTGTGATCGAAGCACTTATAACCTTTGAGTGAGAGAATAGATAATCATTTTAATGTAGTTTGATTCAACAAAGCCTACATTAATAGTAGGATAGTTAACTTCTTGGCAACTAAAAAAAAATAAAAACCTTTACGACTAACACATGAAAAACACTTACACCACATAAGTATATCATTACTTTTGTTATGGCCAAAGAAAGGCTTCATAAACTTTAGCAGACACCTTATTTCAAAGTGATACAATAATTTGGTGGTGAATAAGATTGATTTCAACCAATAAGGATACAATACAATTTAAAATGTTTTGTTACTATCCAGCCTAGAGACTAAAATTAATGAGGAAAGGCGAGGTGATCCGGCATATATTTAAATTTTTTTTTGCAAATATTATTAATATATAACAAACTACATCCAACATATTGAAAGAGCCACTAAGACATCAAATTCGTTTTCTTGAAAACAAATAAAATAACTAGTTTAAATAAAACATGTCTCTATAATATCATATCTACAATATACGTTTACTCATCTTTCACTCATTTAAATGTTAATAGATGATACATATATATAGTTGTTCAATAATGTGAGTGAATTATAATACAACTCAATCAGTGCGTTATATTTCTAAATTACATTAACATAATGAGGTTTTTGAATAATATTCACGATTACTTTTAATCAAGAAAAAAATAATTTTATTTATAGATTATTTTGTAAATGATCTTAATTCATATGTTATAAATAAGCAACACTAATATCGTGTGTTATCCATTTTCTGCAACTAATAAAACTATCATGGGGAATGTCGCCTCCAAGACACAAGATCCGAACAAAGGTTTCTTTAATCTGGGCCAGGATGTTCCTTCGCCGACTAAAGCTCGCTCTTTTAAGGATGTCCTTGCGGGGACACCTTCAGGTGATACCCTTCCTTCACTTACTCAATCTACCTTTAACGGCGTACTTGCGATTCTTATTTCCGATGAAGAAGTGTTAAAGCTTGCATCTCTCTTTTATTTTATGTTAGTTGGTAAATTTGGTCTTCGTAGACCCAATCTTGACGTGATTCACAATTTTTTCGGTAATCTTAAATTAACGGGATTTTACTCTATGGGTTTGTTAGATTCAAAGCATGTTGTCATTCAATTATCCAATGATTTGGACTACAATCGCATGTTTGCTCATCGATCTTACTTTATTCTAAACTGTCAAATGCACATTTTAAAATGGACTCCATTTTAAGGAAGAATCCCCGATCACACCCATATGGATTAATTTTCCGAATTTAAGGCTTCATTTCTTGAACACCAAAGTTTTATTTGCTCTCGGTTCAATTTTCGGTTGTCCTCTCGAAACAGATCAAGCAACGGCTTCAAGAACTCGGCCGTCGGTGGCTAGGGTTCTTGTGGAGGTTGATATTACAAAAAAATATGCTAAAGAGGTTTGGGTTGGATCTAAAACTTTTAGTTATTTACAAAAGGTCAAATTTGAAAAGGTACCTGAGTTCTGTACTCATTGCAAATCCCACGGGCATGCTTTGGTTCACTGTTTTAAATTGAATCTGGAACTCAAAAAAATTACTAACAACTCCATTGGCAAGGGAAACTTCACGGATACTGATAACATACAGAAGGATTCTATTGACCCTATCTCACTGGACGTTCTCCCTTCCAGTGTTGAGAAGGTTGGTATTTTTCTCACTATTGATAATTCCAGTGGAGAGAAGGTGGATGGTTTAAACAATTTGGATAATGGTGCAGAAATTGATAATGCTATTGTAGCTATCCCGGATTTAGATTTAATGAATGAAGATCTTATTGAAGAACATAAAAAAAGTCCTAAAAATTTTATTTCTGTTGACTCTATGTTTGAAAAGGAGGCTACTAGGGGTGAATCCCTTGCTAAGACTATTCAGGATAAAGGAAAGGGGGTATGGAGGATCGTGAAGAAGGGGAGTATATACCGAATTCTAAATCTATTTTTGCTCTTGATAAGAGGAAGGATTTGGGTGATGTGGGTAGCAGTAATAGTGGTTCTTCATCCGATTATTGTGAGCTTATTACTAAAAACATTGAAGAGGAAGGATCTCCTCAAATGCAAAAGAAAAAAAAGAAACATGGGAAGAATCAAATGCCTGAAACACCT